ATGGGTGGCTAGGCTGGCTCCCAAAATGTAAAGCACTTACCATTGGGGGTACTTACACTGATATATCGCTAACTATGGAATTGCATGGTATAAGGGTTATTCTCTTTTAATACTTTACATTAGGGAGAAAGTTTTAGTTTTGTACTGGCACATCTTCAACATCTCTCTATTGGGTGGTTAATTTCCCTTTTATAAGAGAGGGCTCGCGCTTGGAAACTTTGTGGCTCAAAATAAACACCTTACATGATATTTTCTAATGATTACATTCTGCCTATAAAACATTTTAAATGAATATTGGTGGCAGAATTTGCTTTAAAAATAATCCCAGTATTCTGGGAGGCCGAGACAGGGGGATCACAAGTTTGAGCCCAACTTGGGCAACTTAGAGAAACTGTTTTAAAAAAAATTTATTTTTAAGGGCGGAGGACATAGCTCAGTGCAAAGGCCCTGGGTTCAATCCTCAGTACCACAAAAATAAATAAATGAAAATAAAAGTCAGCTAATTTAAAATAAACATTTTAGTTAAAGACGTGTATCATTGAAAAATTCTCAACAGATGTATGAAAAAGATTTAAGTCTGAGAAATATGGAGCTAGGTGTTTGAGAATTAGAGAGCGTCACTTCTATTTTCATGCCCAGTTCCTAAGACTCTGCTTAACATACATTAACTGAACACCAAACATTTGACAGATTAAGAAGCAACACCCAAGGGTCAGGGATTTAGCTCAGTGGTTTCGCTGCCTGCTGCGCAAGTGCAAGGACCCAAGTTCGATCCCTGGTACCAAAAAAAATAAAACATACCAGGAGCAAAGTAGGTGCTCATAAAAAAAAAAAAAAAAAAGAAGAAGAAGCAACACCCATTGCCGACATTTTGAAGGCCTAATTCCATTATAGGGAACATGTAGGTGTAGTGACAGGCCTTCTTTAAACTAACTTTTCTGAAAGAGTTAGATTAGCTTGATTCTTCCTAATTGCATTATTTTCATACAAATGACTTTTTACACAATTCCCTATTGCTACAGTATAAGAAGTCAAAGTAGACTATGTGGAATGGTGTTTATAAATCAAAATGAAGGGGCAACAGAAAAAAATGTTCACAATACATTTCACATGAATCCCCACAGCAATCTTAAACGTGTTAAGTAAGGGTGGGCCAGGGCAGCTCTCACTAGAGGAGAGCTAGCACCATCTGTTGGGGAGTCCTTTCACAGAGTGAGAAGGTGTTCACTCCAGTGATTTCAGTAATCCTGATACTTTGTTAATTCAAAGTGCTTTTTATCACACACATTTTAAGACATTCATACCACTCTAAGTATGATTTAATTTTCAGTCAGTTCTAGTTCTCCACTATGACACTCAAAACCAAAACTAGCTCATTAACCCAATGAAAATACACTAGTCCTTCATGTGACTCATTTTGATCCATTTAAGAAATGAAAGAAATGAAAGAAGAGCCAAGTATGGTGGTACATGCCTGTAATTGCAGCATTCTGGGAGGCTGAGACAGAAGGATTGTAAATTGGAGCCCATCCTGGACAACTTAGTGAAACCCTGTCTTAAAATAAAACATGAGTTGAGGATGAACTCAGTGCAAAGTCCCTGATTCAATCTCCAGTTTAAAAAAAAAAACAAAGAAAGAAAATTTAAAAAGCTTCTTATGTCATACAGTCCAGTACATTGTCAGATTGGTTTAGAATAACAAATATGTGTTGCTCAGTGTTATCAACCAGCCTTGGCATCTCTTGGTATCCATGGTAACTAGAAATAGAGATAGCCTTGGAGTTTGATCTTTGTTAACAATCCAGAAACAGTAATTTTCTACTCTCAAACTCCTTACTCCAAAACCTACTGATGAAACTGAGAAAGCTTTGTCTCACCCATGCCATACTTGCTCTCGAGTGACAAGAACTATAAACTCAGGGTGTGGCCAATAGACATTAAAAGGGAAGGGAATATGCACTTAGATTATAGATGATACTGTTTGCTATCAGCAATTCCCTTGGAGATAAGTGTCAGGAGTAAATACACAAACATCAGGAATAAATTCATATGTGCCTATATTTTAAACACAACATAGAATGCTGATTTTAAATAGCTGTCCTTTAAGACAAGCTTTAACAAGTAGAAAACATTCTCAAAAATTTTTTTGCAATATTATAAGGAACTGTGATTTCAGTGAAAAATTTAAAAATTATTTATTTTTGAAAAGTGAGATAAAGTAATGATAGTATTTAAATGAGAAATTACACTGATCTAAAATATTTTAAAATTTATCTATCTTAGTGGGGAAATTAAAAAGCATCAAGTATACTGCAACTTTTTAATGTGTTAAATGGAAATGATGTAATAATTACTACAAAGAACAGTACATTAAACTCTGCTGTAAAAAAGGAGCTTTAGTTATTAGACAATTGTCAGATTTGCCAGAGGTATATTCCTTGAGAATTCTCTGGGAATAAAGAAAGAACATTATCTCTCCTGAGCCTATAGAGGATAATTTGGTGCTTTAAAGAAATGATTCGATAAAGTAATACTTTTGCTAAATTGTACCGAGGTTCTAAGACTGAAATGTACTCAGTGTAGACATGAATATATTTTTGAGCCCAAGGATAGGCAGGATGTTTAGTCTTCATCTAAACTTGTGCCCTAGTTCTTCAAGAGGACTATAAAAACATCAAAGGAAAGATAAAGTACAGCTCATCAGTTTTTTATTTCAAATGGTTAAGACACTGGCCAAGCCTAGTGTCAAATTCTTTAATTGTCCATTTCTGAAAATGTTCCTGCCACAGGCCTTCCAACCAGGAAGCTTACATTTCTTAAACTTATCTATCTCAAATTGTTTCTAGAAGTAGAAAGGGCAGACATTTTTTTTGTAATATAAACAATAATGGTTCCACAACTTATTTCAAATCAATTTGAGCTACATTTCAAGTTTCTAATTGATCTTCCTTTCACAGTTGAAAGATAGCCTCAGATATTTCCATCAATAGGAACAAAAAAAAAACTACTCCTCATCTGCACTATCTTTTCATGTCCTCCTACAAAAGCTTTTTTGGTGTTGTTGTTGTTGTTCAAACTGTAAAGAGCTTTGGATTTTTTTCTAATTATAAAAGGCATTTCAAAAGTAATCTGAGCCAGGCATGGTGGTGCATACTTGTGCCTCTCAGCTACTCAGGAGATGAAGGCAGGAAGATGGAAAGCTTGCACCCAGTCCAGTAACTTAGCAAGACCCTGCCTCAAAGTAAAATATAAAAAGGACTGGAGTTGTAACTCAGTGCAAGACCTTGGATGCAATCTCATCTACAAGGGGAAAAAACATCTGAAAGTACCAAAAGGTAAAAAGAAATATTCAGTGCTAGACATGGAAGCACACACCACACACCCACAATCCCAGCACGCTGGGAGGCTGAGGCAGGATTACAAGTTTGAGCCCAACCTAGGCAATGTAGCATTTTTTTGAGACCCAGTCTGAAAGATTAAAAAAAAAATTTTTTTTAAGGACTGGGGACATAGTTCAGTGTAAAGGCTCTGGGTTCACTCCCTAGTAAAAAAAGAAAAGTAAAAGGGCCTGAGATTTAGCTCAGTGGTATTGTGCCTGCCTTGCAAGCACAAGGTCCTGAGTTTGCTCCCTGGTACCAAAAATAAAATAAAATAAAATAAAAAAATAAAGAAAAGTGAAAAAAAATCAGTGTATAGTGCTTCTAACCTACTTAACAGTCTGTAGGCTACCTCTGACCACTCACAAGGGCAAGTTTTGTTCCTTGGAAAAATCACTATAATAGGTTAATAGAGACATCAAAAAGAAAAAAATAAGAGTTATAACCCCTGGTCTGTGAACCTATCTGGAACAAAAGGTCTTGCAGGTATAATTGAGGGTTTCTAGATGAGATTAATTCTAGACTAACCAGGTAGGGCCCAAATCCAATGACCAGTGTCCTTATAAGAGACAAAAGAGAAAACACAGAGGAGACCATATGAAGATAAAGGTGGAAGTGAGTCATGCAGCCACAGCCAAGGAATGCCTAGCGCCACCAGAGAGTGGAACAAACAGGGAAGGATTCTCTTCTAGTGCCTTCAGGGGGTAATATGGCCCAGTGGACACCTTCTTTTTGACTCCTGCCCTCTAGAATTGTAAGAGTAAATTTCTGTTCTGAGCCATAAAATGTTCGGCAATTTGTTACAGCAGCCCTAGAAACTAATATACATTATTTTAAAATTTCCTATGATAAACCTAGCCTGTTCTCCAGCCTCTGTTTCTAATTATTTTCCAGCTTTATGACCCTGTTGGCCTCCTTTCCACTGCTTTGTTGACTCAGGGCCCTTGTACATGCCATTCCAGTGCACAGATTGCTCTTATTAATTCTTCGACTATTTCTTCAAGACTTCAAGGAAAAGTTAAGTGACCTCCCAATCCTGTTTATCATCACAGTAAATTCCCCTCTCAGCGGCACATACACTCCGGTAGTTCTTTTTATAGCCCTTATCATAGTTTGTATTTTTGCCAGTGTGAGTCTACCTCTCTAGGGATGGGGTGGGGGGTGGCGTAGTTCTGTGATACCACAGTGCTAACAAGAGTAAGGTCTTGGATTTGACTCCCTAGAACCACGGAAAAAAATGTTTAAACAGATTCTGTTCTGCTAATTGTAAGCTCCCTGAGGAGCCTTGACTTGGCCTCCCTCCCTGCCGTTGTATTCCCAGCCTACCTCTGAGCCTGCTGTGCCATTTGAATGAATGGCCACTTTTCCAGAAGCATTACAGACCTTGGAAACCTCTACTAAGCCCCAGAAAGGGCTGTGGGTGATGTCCGGTGACTTTATCATACCCCAAATCAGACCACTTCTGAGAGTACTTAGTAATTGAGAGTCACCTGGCTATAATCCCAGCTCTGGGTAAAAATTTGCCTACCGCAGGACCAAACAAGAAGGCAAGAGGAAAGCTAGAGGGGGGCGGGCTACAGTACATATTTTGGAAGAATGGGGAGAAAGGGCGATTTAAGTTTTTTAACTGCCACGGCATCTTAACCGCTTTCTTCCCCACCATGCATCCATTTGTCCATTCGTCTGAGCGTCCTCTCTACTGGAGTGAGCTCCGAGGGACTTCACCTGTTTGTTCAGCGCTGTACCTCACACCGTCAACAGTGCCTGCCACACTGCAGGCGCTCAGTGATATCTGGATATCACCGCAACCGAATTATGGGTGAGAATCAAAACGCTGAGAGAACAGAGATTCCGCACAGGTCAAAAAGCTGGAGACCAGAGGGTGAGAGGCCTAACGACTGCCAGGTCTTGGGCTGTGCACAACGCCCGGAGGTCCCGGCGGCGGCGCAGGCTGAGACGGCCGTCACCCTAGCGCCCGAAGCCCCCCGCCCCCGCGGTCCTTCCTCCCGGCCCGCACCCGCAGCGCCCCCTCTGCGCTTGCCTCTGCGGCTGCGCGCTGGCGGCCGAGCCGAGGGGCGGGGGTCGCGCAGAGGGGCCGTCCGAGTTGCTGTGGCGGCGGCGAAAGACCGAGCGGGACCCGAGGGTAGGTAGGGAGCGGCCATGTCTCGCTACACGAGGCCCCCCAACACCTCCCTGTTCGTCAGGAACGTCGCGGACGCCACCAGGTGAGCGGCGGCCGCCGCAGGTTGGGGACGCGGGGGCCGGGCAGGGTAACGGCCGGGCGGGCGTGCCCAGGCCTCGTCGCCCGGACACGCGAGCCCGCGAGCACGGGAGGCCCCTGCCCGGAGCCGCAACCCTCAGCCCAGCCGGGGCGGCTCGGCCCCTTTGTCGCCGCGTCCGGCCTCCCGGCTGGAGAGGAAAAATCAGGGGGATGAGGACGTCTAAGAAAAGAATGCGTATCTTGGGCCTTGCCATTTCATTTTCCCCAGTCCTCGTTTACTTGCGGAGAGTACGCATGGTTTAATTGCATTCTTTACACAATTTTATATTATATACAAAAGATAACTTCAGCTAGTGAGATTTATACCTTTTTCCTCGAAGTTCTGAACCGAATCTGCTGCTAAGCCTCAGCTGATAGCTGCCCTGGAGACATTGAGACTCCTGCTTGCCACATCTTAATTTCCAGACAGATCAGATCAAAGAGTATTAACACCCTTTGTAACAGTTTGGGTGGATTTAACTATTAATTCTGATGTTCTCAGTCCCTATTCCTTAAACTCCCCTTTGAGAATTTTGTCTACATAGTATCTAAACATACCTGTTAAGGAATGGCTTTTCATGTAGCACTTATTCATTTAGTGGGAACCAGAGAGAATTGGGGGCGGGGAGGGGGATTCATAGACTTTAATTTCACAGGGTTTCGCCTCCACCTTTCTAGTTATGGAATATTATGTTACTGTACATAAGGGAGATCTGAAGCTTACAGTTTTAATGACTTAGTCTGGGCTAGACAGGCACGAATGTATACAGTCCTTTGTAATCATCTGGAATAATCATAATTGACTTTTGAGTAGTAAATGTTATGTATCTTTCATTTGATCCCTACCAAAATATATGTCACAACGGTAAATTGTGAGTTAGTACAGTATATCTTAGTTAATATCTAAAAGATACCCATGTTGTACATTTCTTCTCTAAACCTGTGTATCAGTACATTACTGTATATAGCAAAGCAAAATTTTGTGATTTGCTCAGGATTTTTTAAAATCTCAGTTAAACAGACCACCTGAAAACTGAATGAGCATCAACTCTCTTTAGCATATTTGCAAAACAACAAAAACCTAGTGGTTTCCAATTGTAATGGCCACAGGAGCCAGCCAGAGTAACAGAAATGAGTGAAGCTTTCAGATCATAAGGCACAATAAGATGAGGTGGGCTGTACCAAGTCAGTAAGGACATGTGCCATCTAAAGGGAACAGAAGCTGCTACTAAGCATCAGGTGATGGCTGTCCTATAGACATTTGAATCCTTGTTGCCACCTCTATGTCAAAAGACAAACCAGAAATCTGTACTCTGTGTATAAACTCAATTCCAGAATGTTAGCATTTGTTAAGCTGAATACTAAAGAAATTCCAATTTTTGTAGATTTAGAAACTGCACTATATTGGCATTTTCATACTTCACATGTTTTAAAAAAATTTTAACATTAGGCTTGCTAAGTAGAACATATCTTGGCTGGGGATATAATTCAGTGTTAGAGCATTTGCTTAGCATGCACAGGTCCCTGTGTTTGACCCCCCGGCACTGCAAAGAAAATAAAAAGACTTACTCTAAACAAAATATAACTGCATTGACAACTAAATTTTGATCTAGGTAATCTGTCATTGAGTATTGAGACTATAATTGATATTTACTGATATCCTCTTCCATTCTTTCACTACTTTTTAGTACTGCCACTGAGAAGGCAACAAAATTTATAAGATTATGTTGTATTGTTAACATTTATTAAATATTCCATGTATGCCAGGTGCTATACTAAAAACTATATATATTATTAATTTCTACATCAATCCTATGCATTCTTTATTAACCCCATTTACAAACAAGAATCAGGATTAGAGAGATTAAATATCTTGCTTTAAAGTACATAGCTAGTGAATGGTGCTATGTAGAATTACCACATGCAACCTATGTTAACTCTTTTATACAAGTGGTATACAGTGTAAGCTAATTATCAACATGACAACTTGACACATCTTATGTTAACTTTAACATTTAGTATACCCATAAAGAAAAAAATTGGGATAAAATGTCGAACAAAACCAATAGAGTATAAAATTATATATGCAATAAGACTTCAGTTATAAAAAAATGAGGAAAGGAAAAGCTATGGAAAACGACACTGAGAAGAAAGTGAATGATAGGACATGACTGATTTTCTTTTATCCCAAAATGTTTTTCAGATTTTATTTAATAAGAATATGAACTGGGAGTGTAAGTCATTGCTTGTCTAGCAAGCACAGGGTCCTTGGTTCAATCCTCAGAATTAAAAAAAAAAAGTCTTGATATGTAGTTTTAAAATAAAACCAAATTTCAGTAAAATTTTCTGGTAAACCAGATGTGTGGCATATGCCAATAATCCCAGCAGTTGGGAGGCTTAGGCAGGAGAATTACAAGTTCACGTGAGTTCAAGGCCAGCTTGGACTACATAGCAAGACCCTGTCTCAAAACAACAAAAATTATTTTGTCCAGGTGTCCATTTTAATATATACCATGAAGCAAAAGACACTGTGGATTAGTGTAAAATCTAGTAAGGATGAAATTGGGAACAAAAACTGAAGAAATTTTTAAAATAAGGTTTAAATTTTGTGTTGTTTCTTTTCACGGGTGAAACAAAATGTAGATTGGGAAAATATTAATTTTAATATCTTTGTTCCTTTTACTATATAGAGAAATAATTTCTAAATGACAAAAATAATATGCTAATTAATAGACCAAAGTAATGTAGCATTCCCATTTTGATATGTAACATCTTGTTAGGTTGGGGACCAACAGTTACCTCTTGGATTACTTAGCATTCTTTGGTTACAGTATATATAAGGCTATATACTTTGGTGATAGATGTAGAAAAAACATTAAACAAACTTTAGCAACATTTATGATTAAAAAGTTCCAGAAAACTAGGAATAGAAGGGAACTTCTTCAGCCTAATAAAGGGCATCTCTAAAAACCTATAGCTGCTGGATGTGGTGGGTTAGTTGGGGCACCAAATGTAGGGAACAGGGGAAGGGGACGTTACCAGAACCTCTGCAGTAAGTCCTAGTCTCCTGCGAGCCACGGCAGCACTCAAATTACAGGAAAGGTAGACAAATGAGAAGAAGCTGAGCTTTGGGTCTGATCAGTGCTGCTCTGGGCAGCAAAGACAAAAGCCCCCTAGCTTGCAGCACTTTTTATTCAGTACATGGGGAAACAGATGTAACAAGTGAAAATGCAGAGTTCAGTACTTTACATTGGGATAAACAAGGTGTAAAAAGACTGGGGGGCAGTGGAAATCTAAGAACTATGAGGAACTATGTAGATGAAGATTTGGTTCCTCCCTGGCGTCTCCCGAAGGTGTGGTCTCGTCCTGGAGCATTATAGTATCCGGGGATCACTGAGGTCTCAGTTGTCACCTGAGGCCAAAATGCAATTATGTCTGGAATGTCGTAGCTGGCCTGTAGGCAGGAGAACTAGGCCTACTCAAATGATTTTTCCCTAGAATTATGTAGCATTGCTCCCAACAAAATGGCCTTTCATGCTGCACCTCACTTGCCATTAGGTAAATTAAAAGTAAAACAAAGCTGGATGCAGTGGATTTTACCTGTAGTTCTAGCTATTTGGGAGACTGAAACAGGAGGGTTGCTGGAACCTAGGAACTCAAACTAGCCTGGACAACATAATGAGAGCCCATTCCAAAACAAACAAAACAAAACTAAAAAATGAGATACCCATATCCTTCAAAATGGCAGGAAATGGAAGATATTAATGCAGAACTGGAATTATGTGAATTCTAATGCCATGCTTTAGGGTTGTGTAAGTTGTTTGTACCTTTGGAATAGTGAGACTAAAGATAGGCATGTTCTCCAATCCACGAGTTCCTTTTCTAATGATACATGTCAGAAAGCTAGCAGAACTCTAGGAAGTACAGACATAATGTGCACTGTAGCACATTTGACAATTAAAATTTTTTTAGAAAAAAAATTTTTTGAAGGGGCTACCTTGGTGTATACAAGGCCCTGAATTCAATCTCTGGCACTGAAAAAAAAAAAGGCCATAATAAATCTTGTTGCTAGACACCTATTGTAGATGTTCTGTTATTCTCTATAATACATACAGTTCTAAATATAAACTCTGAATGTTGAAGTAGAGCACACCCAAAACGCAGAAATAGATGAAAACAAAACAATAGCTAAGAAATAAGGGATGTGAAGATAATGAATGGGAGCCAGCTCATTTGGATTTTCTCTTTCAGACTATCACCCTTGCTTTCTAGGATTCCAAGCCTCTGTGACACACATTGTTCCAGACTTTTTCCCTTATATTACCCTGGATCTCTTTCCTATTAGCTACCAACATTTGATGGGATGGGTTACCTTAGAAGATCTTCATTTGAGTTCTAGCTTTGCTGCCTGGCTTAGTGAATGGTTGTACTGGTCTGGGTAACTTAATTTCTCACCCTAAGTCTCCTTGACTCTTAAGAATAACCATAATATATTCTTCACTCATTAATAGGCAAATATATATATTGAGTGCTTTACTCTGTACCCATCAGCTATGCTAAGTACAGAGGTATGCTGGTGAAGATTCCTGATTTAACAGTGATTCTCAATCTTCAGTCTCAGAATTGCCTAATGAAACTTTTTCATTTTTGGTAATGGTACTGGGAATTAAACCCGGAGCCTTGTGCGTACTAGGCAGATGTTCTACCACTGAAGTCCTTTATATAACATTTTTAGAATTTTGAGACAGAGTCTTGATAAGTTGTCCCTACTATCCTCAAACTTGAAATTCTCCTGCCTCAGCCTACCGAGTAGCTTGGTTTACAGGTGTGCACCACCATTAACTAGGTCTAGACTTCATGCATCAGGCTGGGGTGCCTATTTCTGTAACATTCCCTTCACAGATGATTCTAATATTCATGAGTGGTTGAGAATCTTTATCCTATAGTTTATGTATTATGGGAGCAGAAATTATGTTTTTATTCTTCACCGTGTCCCTAGGGCCTGGCACACAATAGGTGCCCAGTAAGTACTTGTTGAATAAAAAAATGAAAGAGAAAACAAAAACAAAAACCAAAACATTATCTCTGTCCTTTAAAGCTAATAGTCTACCAAAGAAGGCAAAGAAATGTTATTATACTAAAATATGTCTTAATATGGCTTGTTCTGCCTAACGTAGATTGAATTCTGTCAATACTAGTTAAATTATTATGTAATGAAACCTAAATTCTTATCTCTCACTTTAATCACTTGTCTTCTAGTCTTGAGAGAAAATAAAATTAATATAATTTGTGTAGTCTTAATTTCCAGTTGTTCACAGAGCTCTTAAGAATGTTCCACCATCACCTCAAAGTCTGCATTTCTAAATCTGAAAGCTGCTATTTTTGCCTCTCTTCTCTCTTTTCATTCTATCTCTTTTCCAACTAATTTTTTTCAACTATCTAATTTTTTTCTTTTTTTGGTACCGGGGATTGAACCTCAGGTCCTTGCACTTGAGAGGCAGGCGGTGGAACCATTGAGCTAAATCCCCGGCCCTCAACTGTCTAATTTTTGTCATGGATATCTTTCTTCTCTTTGCCCAAGCAGAAGCTTTGCAATTCTTTGATTCTTTATATGTTTTGAATTACACAATTTTTTTTTCTGATCCATGTATTATGCTCAAAACTAGATGGTAAATCCATTTGATTTTTTTTTGAGATAGGGTCTTTTTATGTAGTCCAGACTAGTCTAAACTCATCATCCTCCTGCCTCAGTCTCTCAGATGCTGGAATTAAAAGCATGCACACAACACAGCCAGCTTCCTGTAATCTTCATGAGCCAGTATGTACACAGTTAAAAACACAGAGTAGTGTCAAACTGTAGAAGTTTGTTTTCAGCTGTGTCATTGCTGACTTAGTGACCTTAGAAGGATTAATGTATGTCCTCATCTGTTAACAACCATAGGGTTGTTGTGAGAACCAAGTGATTTTTTTCTTGTTTTTTTTTTTTTTTTAAGACAGGGTCTCACTATGTAGTATAAGCTGATCTTGAACTCACTATGTAGCCCAGGCTGGTTTTGAACTTGTGATTCTCCTACCTAGCCTCCTAAGTGGAGGAATTACAGGTGTGGGCCACCACATCTGGTGAGAATTACGTGATTTTATAATGACCAGTGGCTACTATATAAATGCACTGAAACTGTCAGCTTATTACTGTTAAATATTTTTATCTCTTTAGATAAATTGTAGCTCCAAGAAGACAAATACACTACGTATTTCTTTGTATTTCTGTTTCTCTTCAGTACCTGTTACAGTAGAAGGCATTATAGGAAGCTCAAAATACCTGTCAATTTTGAGAATACAGTATTTTGCTGTATGTTTAATAATAAAACATCTATTTTCCCTGAGAAGTAATTTTAGGACTTTTTTAGAATCACATGATTGCTATCTGAAAACAAGACTAACAGAAATGTCAAGTGACAGTGAAACAAATGGATGTGTTCTTAATGAAACTATTAGGTCTTGTAACTGAAATAACTTTCAAAGGTAGATGTGCTGGATCAGTGTTTCTCAAAATTGACTAACCATGACGGTCACTTGGAATGCTTGTAAAAATACAGATACCCTGTCCCTAATCCAGATTTCCTGAATCAGAGTGTCTAAGGGAGAAGACTGAGAAGCTTTTTTTTTTTCCTTTCTTCTTTTACTTCCATTTAAAAACCTTGGATAATTCTTGTAAGAAACAGTTTCAGATAATACTGGTCTGGATGATGTACTTTCTTTTGAAGGTTTCAACTAGATTTCTTTAGGCAAAATATTTTAATCTAGCTATTCATATTTCTTTGCCCTATTTCTAAAACACTTCAGGCCTGAGGACTTGCGCCGTGAATTTGGTCGATATGGCCCTATAGTAGACGTTTACATTCCACTTGACTTCTACACTCGCCGCCCAAGAGGATTTGCTTATGTTCAATATCCTTTATTTTGTGTGCATGTTAATGTGCTATGTACATGTGCTTATGCATATATGTATTCAGGATCATATGTTATAAGATTAACATTGCCTAACTAAATGTGTTTATTTCTTTATCTCAGAAAATCTAAAGCAGTCCACAGTAGCTGGCAAGCACCCCCCAGTTTGAACCAACCTGTTAGCTAGAATCCAAGCATAAACCGAACAGGCGAGACAAAAGGCACCTAAAGTTCAAGCATCAAGGAGTAAAGAGGGAGGGTGGACACAGATATAAAGACCTGGAAGAGGGGAAGTCTTTATCAAGCAAAAGACAAAGCCAACTTTGAGACTTCGGCTTTCCTACATTTACTCAGAGTTCCAGAGTCAAAGCCAAGTCTGATTTTGTTGGTTCTGCGTCTCTTATAAAGTCCATCTTGGAAGTCTTAAAGAGTAAAGGTCAAGGTTCAAGATCAAGAGACATTGAGGTAATTGCCAGTCTCATTTTATATTGCATTTCTTGAGCTTTTTTGTTTGCTTTTTAAAAAAACTAGTTAATAACTTCCTGAAATATAGGTATTTAATCCTTTATATAGCTAATATCCATTATATAAGGATTAAAATATTATATAATTTATATAGCTAAGGGAGTTTAGTGGGTTATTTCAAACCAATATATGTAAGTGCACGTGTTTGCAAATTGCTTTTGTGTTTCTTTTCTACTTATATCCCAAATAGTAAAAACATAAAAGATTGTTTAAATGATAGGTTCAAACATACATATGATTTTTGAAGGATTAAACCAGTTTTTATAAGCTTATTTGTCTGTGTGCAGTTTTGTTTTGTTTTGAAACATAGTCTTGCTATGTAGTTCAGGCTGGCCTTGAAGTCACTGGGTGGCCCAGACTGGCCTCAAACTCACTATATTACTCCTGCCTCAGCCTCCTCAGTGCTGGAATTACAGGCATGTACCACCACACTCAGCTTCTATGTATGCAATTTTATTTATATAATTTATCCTAAATATCATAATTATAAATCCTTTTAATGAAAGAGTAATTTTAATTTCAGAGTAAAGCCTTCTGCAAGCTGATATTTGCAGTGAAAAGCCTGATGGATCCTTTTTATGGAAAGAAGCCAGGCATGGTGGCACAGGCCTGTAATCCCAGCACTCTGGGAGGCTGAGGCAGGAAGATCACACAGTTAACCCCAGCCCGGGCAATTTAGCAATTTCTTGAGATCCCATCTCAAATATAAAATATACAAAAGGGCTCTGGATGTAGCTGAGTGAGAAGACCCTGAGTTCAATCCCTAGTACAATTAAAAAGAAAAAAAGGAGTGAGTTCTGAACAGGCTTTTTTTTTTTTTTTAAATAATGCCAACAGATTTGGGACTAATTTTTTTTTCTCATACCATGTTTCAAATTATACAGGGACACTGTAGCTATACTAATGTATACATTAAAAGTACAATTAAACCATGTGAGGTGCTGCACATCTGTAATCCCAGCACTCTGGGAAGCTGAGACAGGAGTTTGAGCTCAGCCTGTGTAACTTAGTGACTTAAGTGAATCCCTGTCACAAATAAATAGGCCTGGGGATGTAACTCAGTGTGAAGGTCCTGGGTTCAATTTCTAGCACTGAAAAAAACTAAAATTTATATGTTTGTTTCTGTTTTTATTTTTAGATTCATTCTCCTAAATAATAGAGTATTTGTGTAATAATAAGAGTAAATTTTTTTCTGATTGTTCATATTGGAGATGTGAACTTAATAACTAGAACTTGTTTTTCCTGTTAATTTCATTTTACATGTATAATACCTTAAAAATATTTTTACTTGCTGTCTGATGTTCAAAGTGTCCTTAACGGCTAGTCATATTTGAAGATGTTCGAGATGCTGAAGATGCTCTTTATAACCTCAATAGAAAGTGGGTATGTGGCCGTCAAATTGAAATACAGTTTGCACAAGGTGATCGCAAAAGTAAGTGTGACTAAACATTAGATCTTTTTTATTCAGCAGAATGAGTTACAGCAATAGCAGATTTTTAAAATTTAAAAATCTTTCAGCAAGTGATACTAGTTGATTAGCTGTTATTGTGGTTTTTAAGTGATGAATTATGTTACAAGCCTTGTTTTTCACATTCTAGCACCAGGCCAAATGAAATCAAAAGAACGGCATCCTTGTTCTCCAGCTGATCACAGGAGATCAAGAAGCCCCAGTCAAAGGAGAACTCGAAGTAGAAGTTCTTCATGGGGAAGAAACAGGAGGTGTTCAGATAGCTTTAAAGAGTGAGTACCAAATATAAGATTAAAAATTTGTTCTTTTTTTTCTGGAAAACATCTTTTTAAGGAGTTTTTTTGTAAAGAGATCATTTGAATCATTTTGTTTAATATACATTCATAATGAACTTTTGGAGAAAAGTATGTTCTTTGTATCATATATTGTCATTTAACTTGGGTTTATTGGATACCTTCCAGTGTTTTTATTTCATGATAGACTTTAATTTTTTTTTGTATCGGGGATCAAACTCTGGACCTTGCACTTGCAAGGCAGGCAGCGGAACCACTGAGCTAAATCCCTGGCTAATTTTTTCAAGTGGAAAGATGCTATATTATAGAATGTGCCCAAAAAATGTGTACACATCAGCAGTTTGCTGTAATAATAAATATCTGGAAGTTAATGGCCACAACTTTCCTCTTTTAATTGTAGAGGCCAGAGGTAACTTGTATTAATCTCATGATGTCTCAGTACATTTAGAATTACAGTATTTGTATAAGTTTTTCTTTTCCTGATGTACACAGTTTTCTGCAGACTCTGTGTAAACCAAAAAATAAAACAATAAAAAATATATATTTGACAAACAGGGTGCAAAATTTTAGATACTAAAATTTTCCTAAATGAGCCTAATAATTCAGAATCTTGAATTCTGAAAATTATTACAATTAAATACAACATTCACTTGTGAAAGAGGATTGACCAACATTAATATAAATCAATTTACTTCAAAGGTAAATTATCAAGAACAAATTCCAAGTATAATAGTATTGTAGGAAGCTATAAGTAGTAAATTTGAGGGGAAAAGATATTTGCAAGTTACCTCATTTGCTAACCATGAATTGGTTTCTGTTAGAATAATAGTACCTTACAATGGAAATTAATTACATGGTGAAGTTATTGAAATAGTAACTGGAATTGTATTGGCATACCTAAATTTTTAAATTAATAGTACTTATCTTGAGTTTTAATGCTTTAATTTTTCATAGGCATGTAGAATTTTAAGATAAATTCTGTTCTCAAAGAATTCTGTTCTCATTTAAACAACATCCTTGCTCTCAGATTAGATTGGCTGATCTGGACCACATGTAGTATATGTAAACTACATAGGCCCACATAGCTTCAAATCAGAGCTGGTCACCAGGGCTATTTACTTCCACTTCTAGTTCTTCCATTTTTCAACTCCCAGAGATTAAACAAGAAAAAGACTTCTATAGTGTATACATATCAAAGCTCATTAGATTCATTGCCTCAAGCCCCTAAAGTCCAGACTGAAGTTGACTGGCTCCTGTTCACCTAAGTGGAAGGGGGACATATGAAGAACCATATCCACATTTATGACTTTTAGTATCTAAGAAAATTGCTAGATTTCTGATTGATAGAAAATGTGACCTAGTCAGAACCCTCAAATCTTATATTATCACAAAGGTACCTCTTCTCTGGTATGAATCAAATGGTTTGATTTTTTTTTTTTGGTTTGATTTTGGCCCATCTTTGGGTAGGGTGTTGAAGGTGGGGAAGCTTTAAGCTCCTTTGATAAGCCAGAGGAATCCAAGTCAGGACTGGGCATTAAAAAGATAAGTGAAATATTATTTCTAAACAGCTGTAGCACATTTTGGAATATGATTCTTGTTATTATCCATTCTCTGTTGTAGTAATACTATAAATCTCCCTAGCATCTTAGAGTAATCCAATTTGTCCCATGGCTAAGGGATATGGATTGCCGGTTTGAGATTTCATCTATGATAGTTTCTAAGATAGTCATGGTAGCACATGCATGTAATCCCAGCACTTGGGCAGATAAACAGGAAGATCAGCAAGGGCTACATTCTGAGACCCTGTCAAAAAATAAAACCAAAAACCCCAAGTAGTTTCTATACCCAAATACAAAGATAGATACATATATATATATATACCCACACCCACACATATATTTACACATATATATACATATATTTTTTAATTTGCATGCCTTATGTACAGGAAAGCAGCACCAATACCAATACTGCTTATGGCAGTATTGATGCCATAAGCATTGTATGTCTCCCCTCCACTTAGGTGAACAGTACTATTGATAGTCACAAGTTCAGATTACTGTGAATTTAAATTTTATCTGTCTGTGTATGTAAGTATAGAATGGGGTGAATGGTATGTATAAAATGGTTTAGTCTATAAATTAAAGATGAAAGTAAATGTAATATATTATATCTAAGCACCACTGTCCTAAATTACTGAATAATAATCTGCTGACCTTGATGAAAAAGATTTAGTTTGTAAGAAAAGTTGTTCCTTGGATTCATTAAGAATTTGTTTCCAATGACATTAACTAGAGTCTTAGTTACCCAATTTTTTCTCCTGATTGATTTAAATAAGATGAATATTCACATCATTTCTTGCCTTCTAGTGGAAGTAAATATAACACTTGGTTGGAGGTAAAGTGACCATTAATTATCCCAAATCATCATGCAGTATCAGGCATACAAGGACCATATCTTTCAATACAATGCTGTCTGTTTTGTACTAGTTAGAAGAGCATTGCTTAACCTTCTAGACTCATTTTTAAAATTGCATTACAGAGATTAGAAATTTTAAATGAGTTCTCAATGTATTTCTAAGGATCCAATTTTATGTGTGTAGCTGCATAGTTTTGTTATATGTATGTATACGTATGGATTAGGATATCCATAATTTAAGCATAATGTATACTGCAAGTATATATAGTATACATAGTAAGAAGTCTCTTTGCCTCTGGTGTAGGTAGGAAGAAAAACTAGTTTGTTGCTCTCACTAGACTATGAATTCTTTGACTTAATTGTTCTTGGTGTGTGTTTTGAAACAGGGTTTCACTATGTAGTTCAAGGTGGCCTTGAGCTCATTATATAGCCCAGGTTGGCCTCACCCTCTAGGTGATCCTCCTACATCAGCTTCCTAAGTGCTAGGATTACAGGCATGTGCCACACCCGCCTCTCTTTGCCTTACTCATATTTATAGCCCCAGTGTTTAGTAGTAGTCCCTAACTCATGTTAAGTATTTAATAAATCCTTGTTGACTTATTTCAGTAAATGTGTATATTTGAACTCTGAATGTTCCTGAAGAATGTTAAAGTTATTTCTCAGTCCAAATATAGCATCTTTTTTTTATTTAGTATTTTTTGTCAAGGATATTTTTCCTATTATTTTCTATGAGTTAAATTCAGTAATTCCTAAATAACAGCCCATTGATTCCAGGATATGTTCTATAGTACTTACAGTCACACAGCCAGGCACTGAGGTACACATTGGTAATTCCAGAAGCATCACAAGTTCAAGGCAAATCTGGGCATTTAGTAAGACCCATCTCAAAAAGGAGGGTAGAGGGCCAGGGATTTAGCTCAGTGGCACTGGTGCCTGTCTCGCAAGTGCAAGGTCCTGAGTTCGATCCCTGGTACCAAAAATTTGGGGCGGGGCTAAGGCGAGGGATGTAGCTAGGTAGAACACTTGGCTAGCATACATGAGGCTCTGGGTTCAATCCCTAGCACCAGGAGGAAAACGTTATCTTTATTCTTTCCAGTTTTATTCTTCTAGTTCATTGTTTCTGTCTGGGATCATTTTCCTTCAGTTTGAAGAGTTTTTATTATTTTTTTATAGGAAAAGTATGCTGGAAATGAATTCTCAACTTTTGTTTTTCTGAAAACATCTTTATTTTACATGCATATTTGAGGGATACTATTTTTGCTATGGATAGAATTCTAGGTTGGCAGATACTTTCCTCCTTCTTCTTACCCCCTAATACCAGTCCATTGTTTCTCTGATATCCAAAGTCAGCTCCTGGTCTTACTGTTATTGCTCCTTTGAGCAACAGGTAATCTTTTTTTCTGGCAGCTTTTCCAGATTTTCTCTTTGACTTTAGTTCAGGTTTAGCAGCTTGACTATTACAGTTTTCTTTGTGCTTATTCTACCTGGGATTTATTGAGCTTTTTGAATTATGAGTTGATGCCTTTGTCTGGGTGAATTTTAGGCCATTATCTCTGCTTCTGTCTTACTGAATCTTTCTCTTAGCTGTGTGACTGTGTACCACACATCTCTCATGCTCTGCTCTGGATTTATTAAAATTCCTTTTCTCCATCGTGTTTCAGTCCAGTTCACTGTTTCTTTTGCTGTGTGTCCAGTTTGCTATTAAATATATCCAGTGATCTTTTTTTAAAAAAAGCTTTATTTTATTAGTACATGTTTGCAATACATGAAGTTTACATTCATGTTAGGGAGTAGGTACATGTGTATGACATATCTTGATTCTTTTTTTATTCCCCTTCCCATTCCTACTAATCTCCTTCCTCCATCTCTAGATCCCCTTTTCCCATTTTCATTATTATTGTTAATACTGTTATTTTTAGTTCATATTTATGACGAACAGTGTTTACATTCATTGTGGCTGTTTGGTACATATACATGATACATCTTAAATCCTTTTCCTTCCCTTCCTCCTTCCTGTCCCCTTGGTCTCTTGGACCCCCTCCTGTTTGCAAAAGGTCTTGTTTCCTTCTATCAAACCTTTACTTTGCCTTACTCAAATGAAAGATACCATATTGTATTTAAGCTTGTGTGTTTATTTCACTTAACATTATATTTTCCAGGTGTATCCATTTTCCTACAAATGTCTCAAATTTATCCTTTTTTTGGAGGTTGCTTTTTGTTTTTTGAGACAGGGTCTCATTATGTAGTTCAGGTTGGCCTTGAACTCACGGCACTCCTGCCTCAGCCTCCAGAGTGCTGACAACCAGCCAAATTTATCCTTCTTTATAGCCAAGTAGTATTCCATTGTGTATAGATACCACATTTTCTTTATCCATTCATCTGTTGATGGATATACAAGCTGCTTCCAGGATTAGGCCATTATGACATTGTGCTGCTATAAATGTTGGCATACATGTGTATCATTGTGTTATGTCCTTAGCTCTTTTGGGAAATTACCTAGAAGGGGAATGCCTGGGGCAAATGGAATTTCTGTTTTTAATTTTTTGATAAATCTTCATACTTATTTCCAAAGTAGTTGTACTAGTTTACATTCTCACCAACAATGTAGAAGGGTTCTTTTTTCACTGCAGCCATACCAGCATTTATTTTTTAATTTCTTGATGAGTGCCATTCTTTCTGGTGTAAGATGAAATCATAATGTTATTTTAATTTGCATTCTCTAATGACCAGAGATACAAAACATATTTTCATGTTTATAGACCGTTAATACTTGTTCTGAGAAGTGTCTGCCCATTTCAGGTGCTCATTTATTTTTTGACTCTCATTTTAGATTGTCTAGTTTTTTTGAGTTCTTTATAGTACTCTAGGTATTAGTGCTCTGTCTGAAAGATAGCTGGCAAAAATTTTTTCTGTTCTGTAGGTTGTCTCATTTGCTGATTGTTTCCTTTGCTGTGCTGCTTTTTAATTTGATGTAATCCCATTTTTTGATTCTTGTTGATATTTCTTTTGCATTTGGAGTTCTGTTCAAAAAGTCCTTGCCTAAACATGATTTAGGTGTTTTACCTATTTTATTTCCCAGTAGGTTCATTATGTATTTAAATGCAGATCTTTGATCCATTTTGATTTTAGTTTAGTACATTGTGAGGATATGGGTCAAGCTTCAGTCTTCTGCATATAGATAGTCAGTTTTCCCAGCTCCATTTGTTAAATAGGCTATCTTTTCTCCAATGTATGTTTTTGGCCCCTTTGTCAAAGATTATAACAGAACGTGTCTGGGGGTATTTTTGTATCCTCTGTTCTCTTCCATTGATACCCAATGACTTTTTTTTATTCTAGAAATACTTTCAGTTCTAAATGTCTATTTGTTTCTTTTTATGGATTCCCATTTTCCATTGAAATTCTCCATTTTTGCACATTTTGTCTGTTTTCCGTATTTTCTTGAACACATTAGTCATAGTTATTTTTAAAATTCTTATCTGATAATGTTAATACCCAGATTACTTCGGGTCTTTTTCCCCCCTCTTCTTTTTCTTCCTCTTCTCCTTCTTTTGTATTTTTCTTACTGTCATTTTTGCCTATTTTTCCAAATACCTTATTTTTAAAAATTTAGATGTTAGGCATGGTAGATGAAAAAATTCAGAGGCTTTGGATGATCTAATCATCCTCCAAGGAAAATTGTTTTCTTCTGATAGATAAGCATACTGGTAGATCACCTTCATCCTGTTAAGGTGTGATTTTGGTGTTATTAAAACTGATGTATTTTGGCTTTGCTTTTACTCCTAGAACATGGCCCTTAGCTCTAGGATGTTTCCCTTCTGGGTGATTATTGAAAGTCTGAGGGCTGGGGATTTAGCTCAGTGGTTCCACCGCCTGCCTTGCAACCGCAAGGGCTGGAGTTCGATGCCTGCTACCAAAAAAAAATTAATTAATTAATTAAAAACATTTTAGGGCTGGGGATTTAGCATAGTGGCACCATGCCTGCCTTGCAAGCACAAGGTCCTGAGTTTGATCCCCGGTACGGCAAAAAAAAAAAAAAAAGTCTGGATCATTGTCCAGGGACTTTTGGTCTTAGTGGCTTGAATTCCGGCCTGTCTTCTCAGCACTATCTGATAAAAATTCAGTTCACTTCTTGGACTTCCCAGTTGCTGTTTTTTGCTGGCATCTTGGAGTCTTATCCTGTATACTCACAACTTAAAAGATAGCCAATGACTTATGGAGAATTTGTAGGCAGATTTTAGGAGGTCTACTTGGCTACAGTTTCCCTCATTTCTAAGATTTAGTCTCTAAAGTCCCAACCATTTATGTGGCCCTGAATTTTTTTATCCCCTCATTTTAATGAAACAGCCATCTGAGGGCTCAATTTCCCCATGCTGTCATGTAGAAAAATGGCCTTGGTAAAGAAGTCGAGATTTGTAACCCCTCAAGTTCTGCTTGTTTGTTATTCTCCAGTGCCTTCGAACAGTTTTTTTAAGTGTTGTGTAGCTTTTTTATGCGGTCCAATCTGGTCTTGAATTTGCTATGTAAGTAGCCTAGGCCTCCAACTCACAGTCTTCCTGGTTCAGCCTCCCAAATGCTAGGATTATGGCATGCACCACCATGCCCAGCTTAGGTTTTGTTTTTGAGCATTATTTGATAAATTTTAAATAACTTTTCTGTCTCTATTTTTAATCTTTTTTTTTTCCTTAAGATTTTTATACTTCTGAAGTGTTATTTAACCTAGACTAAACATGGAGGACATTTTTCAGAACTGATTCATAAGATATATCAAGCAAAGTAAAAATCTTTTAGTCATATATTTGACTATAACAAATATTATAAACTTGTTACTTAGGTTTGAACCAAATGAATGTGTAATAAAAGCAGAGTTATTTCTTAGTGGTAGAGCACTTGCCTAACAGGCACAAGGCCCTGCATTCAATCCCCAGGCACTATTTAAAACAAAAAACAAAAAAACCTGCTACTTGTAGCTTCTCTAGTAAAATCATAAGTGTTATATAAAGCATATAAGTTCCTGAAAATGTTTCTTCTTAACCTATTGCTTTGTATGAAATATATGCTCTAATTATATGGATGTTTGCAGGTCTCGACACAGGCGATTCTCTTATAGCCAGTCTAAATCTCGTTCCAAATCACTACCAAGGCGGTCTACCTCAGCACGGCAGTCAAGAACTCCAAGAAGGAATTCTGGTTCTAGAGGACGGTCAAGGTCCAAATCCTTACAAAAAAGGTCCAAGTCAATAGGAAAATCACAGTCAAATTCACCTCAAAAGCAGACTAGCTCAGGAACAAAATCAAGATCACATGGAAGACATTCTGACTCCATAGCAAGATCCCCCTGTAAATCTCCCAAAGGGTATACCAATTCTGAAACTAAAGCACAAACAGCAAAACATTCTCATTTTCGGTCACATTCCAGATCTCGGAGTTATCGTCATAAAAACAGTTGGTGAACAACAGAAGAGCACTACATAGTCTTTAATATAAGTTATTATATCTCTCATTATGTTAAATAAAAATTTCAAGGCTTAGAAAAATTTGAGTTGATATTAGTTACTTTGGGCATGTGAAAGAAATAATACCTTTCTAGATTTGGATTAATAAAGATTTGGTCTCAGTTTAAGGGCTCACACCACAAATTATGTGTCTAATGTTACCACTTTATGGACCTTTTAAAAGAAATTTTATTTTATTAGTACAAGTTTGTAGTACATGAAGTTTACGTTCATGTTAGGGAGTAGGTACATGTACATATCATCTCTAGATCCCCTTTCTCAGGGTAGGAAGGGAAGGGGGTGTAAAAAAGATTTATGATAGACCATGTTTTATTTACATTGTAACAGAAGGTTAATTCTCAAAGAAAATGGGTAAAATGAAATCAATTTAGAATTCCATTTGAGTATTGAGTATTAGTTATATTAACTTTAACAAAAATTATTTTCAATCTAAAGCATTTTTCATGTAAAAAGTAATTATGATTTTATATGTTTGATATCTGTGTCTTTTTTGTCTCTTTGTTTAAGCTTAGGGCAATTCCTGGAAGGGTGGTACTAGTGCAAATAACAACATTGTGAAATCCCCAAAAGTACATAGTGATCAAGGATTCAAAGGATACATCGTCTCCTAAGCTCAAAGAAGCTTATATTTTTATTGAAGAGTATAGATAAGTTGACATGAAATTGTATCCTATACCTTATTAACTTCAAAAACATGGAAACATTTTTAGAAATACTGGATTTTGAGTGGTTTGAGCCTCTAAAAATTTTCTCTAAATTTATGTTCTCTAAAAATTATGGCCTGCACACAATTTTGCATAATTCATTATGCAAAAATATTCATTTTAAGCCGTACACAATTCAAGGCTAAGACAAAACTATCACAAGTTTGAACCCAGCCTAGGAAACCTGGTGACTTAGCAAGAACTTGACTCAAAATTTTAAAAAGAACTGGAAATACAGCTCAGTTCAAAGGCCTTAGGTCCAGTACTCAGTCCTAGGGAAGAAAAAAAGCCTTAGTACATTTGAAAAATAGTACATTTTGTATAAAATCATATTTTTACCATTATTTCTATATGCCAGTTTTCATCTGTTTATTCTTTTTAGAGCTCTCTCAGTATTTTAAATTATATAGAATGCCTTATTTCTGAGAATAGTACCTTTTATTAAGAAACTCAGAAGTCTTCAAAAAATAATTTTACAGTATCAGAATTTTACATTATACTGCTTTCATTTTTTAAAACCAAATTTAACACTGTCAATATACTTACTGCTTTTATAATTGTTGTGATTAAGAATTTCTTTTAAAAATGTATTTGTAGGGCCGGGGATTTAGCTCAGTGGCACCACGCCTGTCTTGAAAGTTCGAGGTCCTGAGTTCAATCCCTGACACCAAAAAAAAAAAATGTATTTGTAGCCAAATGTGGTGGCAAATGCCTATAATCCTAGCATTTGGGAGGCTGAGGCAGATGGATCACTTTGAGTGCAAAGCCAGCCTAAACTACATAGTGAAATCCTGTCTCAAAAATTTTTTTTTTCATAGTTTCTTTTTCTTTTCTTTTTTTTTTTTGGTTTTGGTTTTTTTTTGTGGTACCAGGGATTGAACTTGGAACCTTATGGTTTCGAGGCAGGTGGCAGAACCACTGAGCTAAATCCCCGGCCTTTATTTTTCATATTTACAGTGTTCTACTTGTGTACCTTACTGAATTATATTACTAAAACTTAAAAGTTACCAACCCATATACTTCATATTTATAAAATGCTTAAGAAATATTTTATATCTTTAGTATATAGGAGTCATTGTTGCTTCTATTTCTTTTGAATACAAATTTTGCTTTTCTTTGCATGTTAGAATGTGCAAGATAACATTACAAAAATAACTTATTTGCCAGTAATATTTGGACAAGTACCATAAATTCATATATATTGTACTTAGATGTCCCTATTTAATCAGCAAAACTCATTTTAAAACTACAACCCTTAAGTGTTCATTTATAAAATTATGTAGCACTATTGAAAATTTAAAGGGGACTCTGAAGAACTAGTAAGACAAATACAAGTAAATGGATTCACACATATACTATATTCAGTAGCTCAGTGATAGAACACTTGCCTGGCATGCATGATGAGGCCCTGGGTTTGTTTTTGCTCTGCATTCACAAATCGTTATGTTAGTAAAAAGTTAAGGCAGTATTCCTGAACATAGGTAATGCCTCCATTTAACTTTGACTTGGTTTCCCATGGTAATCTCAAGGGTGGTCAAGAGGATACTATTTGGTTTGATGGAAAAGCTGGAATAATAGCTCAAACTATTTGAGCATTTACTATGTACTTGAAACTGCTCTATAAGTTTCAAGTAATTCATCTGTCTAATCTTTACAACCACCTTATAAGATAAATAACTGCAAATAAGGAAACTTTTGATGCAAAGGGTTAAATCACAACCATTTTAACTGGGATGCTAGGAAATAACTGGGCTCAAGTCTTCCTGACACTATGTTTTTTGAAACAGCAAAGTCTTTGAGAGATAGATGGTTAATATAATATTTAGGGAGAAATGAGAACATAGAATTAGGAAAAGAAATGCTTGTAGGCTTCAGTAAAAAATGTTTCTGTGACTGGATGAAAAGTGATTTGCTGGATATCCTGGAAAATTGTCTTCAGGGAATATCTTTATTGTGAGGTTTACTTTGTCATAGAATTGTTTCTTGGGGCATTTAAGAGAGATACTTAGGATAAGATTGTCTGTTAATAAAACAAATGTGTTTTGATTTGGTTTGGTTTTGTGAGACAGGGTCTTGATATGTAGTTCAGGCTGGCCTCGAATTCATATTGATCTTCCTGCCTCAGTCTCCCAAGTGCTCAGTTTATAGGCATGTGACAACACACCTGGAAATAAAGCAAATGTTTTTGCTTTAGCATCTATAATCAATTCCTTTGAAGAGAACACATGTACTTAGCTACTTCCCAGGTTTAGTACAGTGGTATACCTATCACTGTTCAAAATAACAGAGGATAGCTTAAGGGCAAAGAAAGTTAAATATGACCAATGCAGCTGCTTGTTTTCTTTTTCCCTGCAAGTAATGCCCAATAATTTTTGTATAGCAGCCAATATTTTATAGCTGCTAAAAGATAATGAACTTGTTGGAAATTTTATTTGGAACCTAGGACTTAATTTTGCACCACCGGGTTAATTTCTTTTTCAAATAAAATTAATTAATTTCAAGACTTTATTATTTGGGGTTTTGTTACTTTTGAGACAGGGTTTTGCTATATAGTCTAGGCTAGCCTTGAACTCACTGACTAGGCTAGGCTGGCTTGGACTCAGTCCTACTGCCTCAGCATCCCATGTGCTGGAATTACATGTGTGCACCACTACACTGGGCTAAGACTTTTTTTGTTTTTGTTTTTTTGAGACAGGGTCTCATGATGTAGTTCAAGCTGTTCTTGAACTATGTGGCCCAAGCTGGCCTCAAACTTATGGTGATCCTCCTGCCTCAGCCTCCCAAGTCCTGGGATTACAGGCATGCATCAACATGCCCGGCTAGGACTTTTTATTTGTAATGCTTGAGATATAAATTTGTTGTTGTTTTATGACAGGGACTCTATATGTAGCCCATTTGGTCTCAAACCAATCCTCATGCCTCAGCTTTGAGTACTAAGATCACAGTCCTTGCCACCAGGCCCAGCTGAAATATAAGACAAATTATTGTATTACAAATAATCACTGCCGTTATGCCAGGCGTGGCAGTGCATTCTTGTAATTGCAGCACTCTGGGAGGCTGAGGCAGGAGGACTGCATGTTTGTGCTAACCTGGGCAACTCAGCAACTTTGCAAGACTGTGTCTCAAAATAAATAAAAGGGCTGGGGATGTAGCTCAGTGCAAAGGCTGTGGGTTCAATCCCCAGCACCACACATATACACAAATTAATGCCTGTATTCTGATCCCACTGCCAGAGACAAAATTAGTTTAAAATGAAGTATTAAGAAATACTTTTATAATCCTTAAAATTATAATTTCTCACAAGATGCCATGGTGTATGCTTATATTCTCAGCTACTCCAGAGGGCGAGGTAGCATCAAAACCTTAGTCTAGCTTGAGCAATTTAGACCTTATCTCACATTTAAAAGGGTCTGGGAATGTATGCACATCAGTGGCAGAATGCTTGCCTAGCATCTGTGAGTCACTGGATTCAATCCTCAATACCATGCGTGGTTGTGGAGGTGGTGGTGGTAGTGGTGGGGGTGTTCAAGGTCTAAGACTGAGGGGGAGCAGGAAAAAATGTTTATAAAGCACAAACACAACTGGGTCAAATATATTTTTCAAAATATAACAGTCCCTGTTGGGAGTGTTAGATAAACATTTCAGGTTGATTCAGCGTCTGTCTAGTTGAAATAGCACAATAACTAGAACAAGCTGGGCAAGGTGGCACCTACCTGTAATCCCAGCACTCAGGAAGTTTAGGCAATGAGATTTGAGGCCAGCCTGGACTATCTGGCAACACTATCAACCAAAAAAAGGGGCCAGGGATTTAGCTCAGTGGTGCCATGCCTGCCGCACAAGTGCAAGGTCTCAAGTGCGATCCCACGTACCCCCCCCCATGACAAATGCTGTCTTTAGTGATAGCATGTGAAGAAAAGCTGAATTAAAAAATACAAATATAAGCCAAGAACAGTGGCCAATGTCTGTAATCCCAGCTACTCAGGTTGAGGCAGGAAAATTCCAAGTTCAAGACTATTTTGGGAAATTTAGTGAGTCACTGTCTCAAAATTTAAAAAGGCTAGGGATATACTTCTGAGCAGAGTACGTACTTCCCTAACATGCATGGAGCCCTGGCTTCAACCTCTAGTATTACAAATTAAGCAGATTATCATACCCCAACAGCAATGGTTTCTAAAACACGGTATTTTTTATTTTGTTTTGGGAAAAGAGTTGTATGACTGCTCAGCTAGATGTGGTAGTGTATGCCTGTAATACCAGCATTCTGGGAGATTGAGAGGAGGATCGGATGAGTTCCAGCCCAGCCTGGGCAATTTAGCAAGATTCTTTCTCAAAATAAAAATGGATGCAGTTCTGTGGTAGAGCACTTACCTAGTATGTGTGAGACCCTGAGTTCAATCCCCAACACCACATAAATAAATGAGCAAGTGAATAAATAAATACTGTAATAACAAAAAGGGCTGGGGAATGTACCTCAGTCCAAAAGTCCTGGGTTCAATCTCCAGTACCTGTTTGGAGATCTTACCCTGTTAAGCAACTTTGAGATCAATTTAAATCAAACATTTGTATGCTGGAAATAAAAAGTCATCAAGCCGGCCCGGATTTAGCGAAGTGGCACCGAGCCTGCCTCGAAAGTGCAAGGTTCTGAGTTCAATCCCCTGTACTGGGAAAAAAAAAAGTCATCATCAAAATATTTTGGTACCGGGTACTGAACTCGGGTCCTTGCGCTTGTGAGGCAGGGGGCAGAACCACTGAACTAAATCCCCGGCCCCAAAATATTTACAGAAGGAAAAATGGGCTTTTTGGGGGGTTGAGGCAGGGTCTCACTATGTAGTTCAGGCTAGCCTCAAACTCACTATGCACCCCAGGCTGGCCTCAAACTCAGGGCGATCCTTCTGCCTCAGCCTCCCAAGTGCTGGGATTACAGGCGTGCACCACCATGCCTGGCTAAAAAGGCTTTTGATACTTTTTAAAAGCCTGAAAATGAACTGAAAAAGGAGAGGAAGAACTCAGCTTGTTACTTAAACTTGAAAATAGCCAGGCATGGTGGTTAATAGTAGCACTCAGGAAGATGTGACAGGAGGACCAGGAGTTCCAGGTTGTAGTACATAAAACTTGTCAAAAAAAAGAAATACCTTTTGCCTGCCATCCCCTTCCCCAAGATTTTAGACTTCTATCAACATATTTGTTTTTGGTTTTTTGGGGGTTTTTTTGGTACTGGGGATCAAACTCAGGTCCTTGCGCTTGCACAGCAGGCGGTGAAACCACTGAGCTAAATCCTTGGCCCATCCCCTATTTGAGTTGAGAGGAAATACATTCTAATTCAACAACTAATTGGCAATTGTAGATGTAACTAAGTCCATATAAGACAGAGGATGAGGTCAGTAGTAAGTGCTAGGCCTTGAAAGAAAATGGAGAGGTTATGGAAAGAAACTATTTTTGGCTCCATTTTTATGTTGTAATTATTGCTTCTGTACACTCATTAAAGGAGTACCTCTACCTGTGACCTATTCTGTTGTACCTTTCCAGAGATGCCCTACAAGGTCCTCAAAGTTCAACAAGCCAAATGAAAATTACTTTCCTCTGTAATTCCAGTCCCCCGGCCCGGTGCCCTAATTGCTTGCTTTGTCCTCCCAGTCAATTAATTTAAAAGCCTTCTTGCCGGGAATGTAGCTCAGCGGCACCATCCCTGCCTGAAAGTGCAAGGTGCTGAGTTTGATACCTGGTACCAAAAAAAAAGAGCCGCCTTTTCCTGTCCTTCATACAGATGCTCAACTATACTTCCAAAATATCCCCTCAAAATGTCTATTCCCTCTGACAATGTCAAACGGCACTTTTCCTCTTTTGAGCTACTATAATATGCTCATGTGCTGTTTCAGGTATTCTCTTTCCAAACTGTTCTTCATATTTTAAACAATTTTTCAAGTATTCATTCTCTTTAGCATGACCGTTAAGGTCTTTAATGTTCTTACAATATACCTTTCAAATATATTGAATCTTTCAAATATATTGAATCCATATATTGAAATATATTGAATCACCTCTCAAACTGTACATTCTACATGTCTTTACACCCGTGGCCTCCAACTGGCAGCGATTCTCCTGCCTCAGCCTTCCAAGTACTGGGATTCCAGGCTGCACCACCATGCCCAGCTGCTCACTTTTGTCTTCTACTGCTGTGTATTAAACACTCGACTTTTTTTTTAGGGCCCAACTCTATGCTTCCCCCAACCCCTCCCAGCACTGTGGATTGAACCTAGGGCCTTCACACTGAGTTTACATCCCCCACCCTTTTAAAAAGTTTTTGATACAAGGTGTTGCTCAGTTGCCCAAAGTTGGGCTTGAACTTCAGCTCTTCCTACCTCAGCTTTCCAGAATGCTGGGGTTATAGACATGTACCAGCACACCTGGCTCATGTGGCTTCCAAATGATAGTTTTAAGTACCAGGCAAAAGAAACTGCTGCTGGGTGCAGTGGTTCAGGATGCCTGTAATCTCAGCTACTAAGCTACTGCAAATTCAAACCCAGCTAGAGGTACACAGTGTGACCTGGCCAAAAAAAAAAAAAAAAAAGATTGGGGGGTATAGAGCATTTGCTAGCATGCGGGAGCCCCTGGGTTCAATCCTGTTTCCAGGAGAAAGAAGTATACAAACCATTTTCCCAAGCACAGAATCACTGGATTTCCACATTAGTATACTAGGCTAGCTTTACATTAATATTTACACTGACATAGGGAAAGGGCTGATTATATTGTACTATGCCCAAAACCTGAATGCTGGACCTAAGGAAATGATTAGCTTATGAATCACATTAACCACTGTAAAATCTGTATTATTGTTAAAATTTGAAAAGAACGTTTCCTGTTAACCTTTAATTTGATATTTTGCTGGCTTTTCTCCACCAATAAAAACACTAGCAAAATACTTAGCACAAAGATTAATGCAAATAAAAGCAGCACCTTCCATGTCACGATCACTGGTGAGTTGGACAAAGTCAGTATCAAAGTGTAAACTTATCTCAAAACTTCAGTGTAAAATACTAATCACATACTGGTATTCTGTTCTCTAGTTAAGTGCCAATGATGCAACAATTTCTTCTTCACACTTATAAAGCTTTTATCCCTTCGCAATTAACGAGCCCCTCTTACCAAACTACTAGTTTAAATGCAGGTCTGAAGCTGGTGACTACTGCAGAACACATTGTTTGCTTATATACCCACAAAACAGACACTGGAGGAAATGTATTGAGATTCCAATGAGAAAAATAAAACGTGGCTGAACAATGGGCATTTTAGTAAGACAACAGTTATTCAACTTTTAAATTCACTAATAACTTTTCCTTGAATAGGTATCATCTATAGTATATATTCAACCAATTTTGTTCAATCTAAGACCTATTGAATACTTTATAATATAGTCTATTTCACTGTTACTCTGAAAATTTTTAACATTTCTTTCAGTATTAACTCTTAAAGCTCTTCGAAAATCTTAATTACAAGGTTGAGAGTTCACCTACATTTCCATATTAAAGTACCACTTTTTCTACATTTACAAAAAGCAAGCTGTGTGTGTAAATACTGAAGCTAAATTTCTCTACATATGAAAATAAGACTTTATAGCCAGCAATAATGAGTGCAAGGTTTGATACACACATGCACACACAGTAGCACACCTCTGACTTTATCAGGCAACAGTTAACATGTTATACCCTCTTGGCACTGCTTATTAAGTCAATAGTGATTGTAAAGTTAGCTTCTAACAGTACTCACTTTCAAACAGCTAGGAAATTGTTTTCCTTTCCCTCGTCTATGACCAAAAGATACAAACTCTCTAAAACTAAGCTCCAGGTAACAGCTTTCTCATCTCCCACCTTTCAGCATTTATACTCTTAATATCATTTTTCCTTTTTGTATGTCTAAACACTAGCCTATTACTCAGAAAAACTGTGATAAACTTTAGCTTTGTATAACATAAAGCCCACACTAATTTTAATAACTTCTCAGCTGGAGAGACACACATACATACACACTACTGAGAACAATGTTTGAATGTCTGTACTTTCACAAAGTACAACTACATAAACTGCCATATATATCTTCAAGTAAGCTATAGAATCCAAAATCTGCTTCTAGTATCCTAACATTATGCTTGTGTTGGTTCATAACAAAAAAATCAAGCTGGGTGTGCACCTGTAGTAATCTCAGCTACCTGGGAGGCAAAGGCATGATCCTAAGTTTGATGCCAGCCTGGGCAACCTGGAGGCTCAAGGTTTGCAGATGTAGCTCAGTGGGTGAGTACTTGCCTAAAATGTTAAGTTGTGGATTCAATTTCCAGTACCATAGTAAAAAGCAAAAAAACCCCCATCAATGCAAGCTTAATAAACCAAATGTCCTTTCTTTCGAGATATGGTCTTATCATATAGTTCAGGCTGGCCACAAACCTCCACTGGATCGTCCTGTCTTCAGCCTCCTGAGTACTGGAATTACAGGTGTACACCACCATGCCCAGCTTAAGTGTCATTTTCTTTCACTGAAAAATTTATGTAAGTCAAATAGTACTTTATAAATGGTTCACATATAAAAATATTTTCTACTCAGAAGGCTGAGGTGGGAGGATCTCTAATTGGGAGGTCAGTCTGGACAAAATTTTAAGTTATAAACTAAGGAGCCTTACTTTTATCTATACTCATTTCCATTTGTGATGGAGGATTCTTTCTCTCAGCAGCCAAACTAAGTTATTCAATCTTCTAGCTGGGCAAGGTGGTGCACACCTGTAATCCCACCACTTGGAAGGCTAAGGCAGGAGGGTCACTGCCAGTTTGAGGCCAGCCTGGGCTCCATAGTAAGTTCAAGGCCAGCTGGAACTACAGAAGAACCTGTCTCCAAAAAATAAAAAAACAAAAGTTATCTGAATCTTCTAAATTTCGCAGGATGGTATCAGCATAAAGTCAAAGACAAAGCCAATGAAATGTAAAGTTAAAATCCAATCATACAAAATCATCTCTTGGTCACATTCAAACAAGAAACATTCATACACAAAGAATCAAGACTAGTTAAAAGGGGAGAGGGCCAAATTATTATTTAAAATTTGATTACAACCAATTCTGTTGGCATTAAAATTAGAGGCATTTTCAATTTGAATAATGGCTATATACCAAAACCCACAAATTAAGTTTGGTAAAAATGAGAGTAAGAATTTTCCAACAATAACAGATTAGAAGGCAGAAATCAATTTAGAGAAACACAGACAAACCCCATGTTTACAATGATTGTGCCACAGATTTGAACTTCAGTAGTGCATTAGTAAATTGTTCACATTTAGATCTTCACTTTGAGAGTTAACAGCTGTTTCTTGAAAAAAATCTTAGTACCTTGTGCAAATAAATCAGTCTTCCATGTGCCTTGGCACAGTTAAAATTTGTCCACTATATATACAAAACACCTACCATGTTGGCAGGGCAAAATACATACTTTCATAACAAAACTATAATGTACCTCTCAAATATGAACAATATACACATAATACATGTTATACAGTATTTACAAAATATAAAATATAATACAAGCTGTTTGTATTCTAAGCTCATCTTTTGCACTCAAATGGTACAAGGCAAATTTCCATTTCTGTATCAATTTTAAAGAGTCCAGGGATTTGGGAAAACCTATGTTTTACATACATACTGAAATCTAAGTTTGAACTTTTAGGAGCGTTTTTAAGTGTACTGCCATTAGCTCCCTATTTTGGATGGAATTTTCAACACTGCTTCCCATCCAGTGACTAGGAGGCTTTGGAAGAACACTAGGAGAAGGCGGATCACTGAACTTTGCCCCAGCATAATTTTCCTTTTGGCTCACTTCAGTTAGAAATGCTGATTTCTTCAAATGCATATTTTTAATGTTTTCAGTATTTTTAAAAGGCTTTTTTTCCTGCTTCTGAATTCTATCAGGCGAAACAGAATCCTGCCAAAAGTTATTCTCATTCCTTTTTGCAGAGGTCATCTTGGTTAGTGGCAAGTTATATTTGCTTTTCTGTCTGTTTATCTTTGGTTGTTCACACAAGGGTATACCATGAACGAGCTGGCCGTGGGGAAGGGCAATTTTCTCCGATTTTCCCATCTTTGATTTTAAAACCTACAAAGAAAAGGAACACAACAGTGAATATAATTTCGACATAAAAATCAGCAATAAACCTCATACCATATATTACACATATTTTCTTTTTAAAAGTTCAGGTTAACTTATTGCTAGATGTCCAAATATGTGTACCTCTTATACCAGTACACAACATGAACTGGTTCTACAAAAAAACCAACTAACCCAATTCATCTTCTACAACTGTAAGGAAAGGTAAAGAAGCTCTTCCAAATAAATACTTTATAAGAAACATTTCCTATCTATTCCTTACCTTCTGGTTTAAAAGTTGCTTCAACTTGTTTCACCAACTGCCCTTTCCCGAAGGTGCAATCAGATGGGAAAGTGAAGATAATCAACCCTGGCCTTTTCGACACTAGAAATGCGAATGGCTCAGTAGGACACAAAAAAATTAAGCGTTCCAAGTTAACAAGGGCCACTGCTAGCAGAACTTTTCCCGTTTTAAGATATTCTAAATGCATGTTACTGTCCAGGAAAACAAGTACAGAAAGTTCTTTTAGATTATTACTAACATTTCAATAATCGGATTTTCTCCCAAGGGCTCGGCTTGATAAACCGCTCTTTATTCAGTCCAGTATTATTTCACAAGACAGTAACCTTTCATGTCATTACAAAAACAGAGTAAGTCACTAAAATTAAGTCAATAAACGTTTTAGCCAGGCGTGGTGGCACAGGCCTGATCCCAGCACTGTGAGAGGTGGAAACAGGGTGGCAAATTCGAGCCCAGCCTAGGCAATTCAGAGACTTAGCGAGACTTTGTCTCAATAAAAAAATGGGCTGGAGATGAGGCTCTGCGCGAAGGCCCTGAGTTCAATCCCCGTTACTGCCTTAACCCTGTTGGAATTTTCACCCATTTTATCCAAATTCAATAACACCTCAACTGGCCAGCGAAACATTTCAACGTTGACTTTTCTTGCTGAGACTTATTCTGGACACAATAAAACCACAGGCCGTTTAAAACGCGCAGTCCCGTACACTGGGAACTGCTAAACACATACAGTTCACCTGAGACTTGGCACACAAAATCCACAGCTTCAAAGAGGCAAAAAACCTAAAGCCTCTGCTGTCAACTTTGCAATTTCAAACTCCCACTAAGTAGGTCAGGCCCGGGGCGTCCAGAGCCTCGCTGCACTGGGCGCCCCACACAGGGCACCTGACGTCTCGGCCAAAACTCAGCCACACCAAGTTGAGCCATTGGCGGTCCCCCAAGTCCCACGCCCCAAGCACGGAGTCAGGCCCACTTTGCGCGTGCCTCTGTGACAAGGCACACGAGGAGCTCGACAGCCTGGGGAGTCCCCCGCCCCTACCCCTTCTCCTGCCCCTTCCCCTTCCCAGGCCCTCCGCGCCGCCTTCATGAGCGCAGCGGCACCCGGCACGTAGCGCGCGCTGACGTCAGACTCCCGCGGGCACCAGCTCTTCCCCACACGGCGCGCGCCCGTTAGGCCGAAACCCCCTGAAACGCCGCCAGCTTGCTAAATCGGGTCTGTTGCTGGGGCCCAGCCGCTCCTCTCATTGGCCGGCTCCCGGGAGCCAATAGGCAGAGCCAGCGCATGCCTCCCCTTCCCCCTGCAAGAGCCAGCGAGCGGGCGTCACAGAAACTTCCCTCCCGAGTAAACAGCCGCCCCTTGCCCCGCCCCCACTCTGCCAGCCCCGGGCCAGGCCCAGCTCCGCGGCCCCCACGCGGCTCCCACCTCCTTTCTGAGCGGGGCTTGGCCGGGCGCCGCGCATCGCAGCGGCTCGGGTACCAGACTTACTTCCTCAGTTGGGGCTGCGGCCGCTGGGCCCGGGGCCGAGGCGGCGGCCTGACCAGGGACCTCTTGCGCTCCGCCTGGGCCGGTCCCCGAGCCCCGGCCGCCCTCCAGGTTCGGCCGGTGCTGCTGATACTGGTGGAAACGACTGGGCAGCTGCCCTGCCGGGCTGGCTCGAACCTTCTTCTTCCGCCGCTTCTTCGGTGCTGCCCGCGGGGCGCCTCCCGCCACGGCTGGGCTGCAGTGGGGCAGAGCTGCTGGTGGGGCGCGAGGCTGGGGGGCCAGGCAGGGCCCGTCTCCCCCCAAGAAGTGAGGGAGGAATAGAGTCGGGGGCAGCGCCCGGGGGTCCGGGATCCGGGGTACAGGCGGCGGAGCCGTAGTCACCATCGGGAGGGCCCCGAAGTAACCACGGGCAGAAAAGCCAAGCGGCGCAAGACGGCCACTCAAGACGAGCGGCTCCCGCTGCGGGACAGACACGACAGTCATAGCGCTAGGAGTCGGGAGGCTCGGCAGGAAGAAGAGGAGGAAGTGAAGCCCGTGATCACCGGGCGGCGGCGGTTGCTGCTGAGAGCCACGGAGGAGCGCGGAACATGACCCGGGCGGAGGCAGCGCAGCAACAAATAGCCCCGATCTGGCTTCTGAGTGTTGTTATCAGAGGCTCCGCCCCAAGCCCGCCCTCCTCCCTGCGGAAGCCCAATCCGAGTGCAACGAGGAAGGCCACGCCCCTCGGGCTCCACCTCCACGGACTCGAGCAGAGAGACACAAACAAGCAGCTTGCTGCAGCCTGGCACAAAGAGCCCGTAATGCGCAGGCGCTACCAACCAGCTCTTTCGGGAAGAGTCGGTCCCGCGAACAATGAAGTTCGGCTTAGGCCCCGCCTACCCTGCTCCCACCTCGCCCGGACTCGGCCCTTGCCTGGGCCAAGCTTCAACGGAGAAGCCTCGGTGGGGGAAGGTAGGAGAGGCCGGAGGAGGAATTTGGGAGCATCAAGGCCAAGGATGCCTGCTCAGCTACTGACCTTGAGGAAGTATCCGCTTTAACTCCAGCAAGGAAAACAAAAAAAGATTTTAAAAAGTTGTAAGAATGTCTTCCCTAGCAGTCGTGATCAGTCTATGTTTGAGTACTGGATATAAATACGATATATTTTTAGTGAAGTGTGCCCCCCTTTTTTTTCATTTACTCGGTTCAGCGACGCTGTTTACTAGCTCTAGTGATCGGAGTAAGAACTAAACAAGGACTATTAATGATTGAACTGGCAGCTTAATATACAGAAAGTTCTCAATGGAGAACTTATCCATAACAGGCATTAGGATTATTACCGCCTTCGTGCTTAAAGGATTGAGAACTAGGATCTCACAGCCAGCGCAACTTGAGGCAGCAAATGCTTTCCTTGCAAAGGGAGAAAGTGAAACTGCTCTGAAACATTTAATTTATTAGCGAGCCCTGGGTTGATAGAATTCCCTCATCTTCCCGAACTGCTCTCACCAAACACTTGTGGCCATCTATCAAACACTTGTTCCAGGAACTGTTCTTTAATGTAGATTATTTTATCTCTCATAATAACCCTAACGATAGGTGCAGAACATTAAATCCCTTTTACAAGAAAGAAACTAGAGACTCACTGAGGCTAAAGAACTTGTCAAAGATCATGCAGTAATTTAGCAACTGAATCTACACGTGGTCTGGAAGAACAAAGTTTAACATTAGCCATACTACCTGCCACATTAGATTGTCAGTTTTTATTTTTTTGTATTTTGCCAGAATAATCTTCCACTTCTCAGAACTTATAACCACTGTTTTACAGCTTTGTAGTGGTGATGAGTTGGTATTTAAAAACGTATTGTAGACGTCCTACTGAGGTCGCGAGTCGCGTGGAACACGCCGAATCAGCCCGCGCCCCGGCAGCAATCCACTGGACAACCCCCCTCCCCCAGCTCCTCTGTACAGGCACCTGGTTCCACATTACAAAGACGCAGAGGACACGGTACCACCAGACCATGGTACTGAGTCCCACCGCTCCTGGCCCAGAGGTAGGGGCTTCTGAGCTGCCATCCCACTGCTCCTGGTCCAGAGGAAGGGGCTTCCCAGCCACCATTCGTCCCGCTGCTCCCAGCCCACAGGAAAGGGCTTTTGGGCCACCATCCCTACTGCTGCTTCCAGCCCCTGTCCCACCTCTCCCACCTCAGAGGAGGTAATCCGTGCAGGGGCTAACAGGCCCCTGCCCCAGTTGAAATGAGAAAACACGTAAATAAGTCTCAAAACCAGACTTCCAGATCACCTACAGTGACCCCAAAAGGAAATGAGATGGAACACTCTGATACTCAACCACCTGGACCCACTGATCTGGCAACAAAAGGGGATCTGGAAAAAATGAAATCAGAAATAATTTC